AGCGTGCAATGTACAGTTACGTACGATATGAAAAAAGGAAATACTACAGCTGGATAAGCGCTGTGGCGGGTGAGACGATGCCAACTAGGCTAAAAGGGGACAAGTGGACAAATGCGATGCGAGTTAATTATTATAAAGTCTGGGGTCGTCCCCACCGTCTCACGGCCCTCTGGATGAGAATTCCGGGTCAGCAATCCTAATCTAAATCCTGCGTTCCTTGCCATTAAGTACTATTAACTACGAACCAGCTGGCCGAATCCAATACCCAAAGGCCAGTCGCCCACAGCATCCTATCAAAGACTGGAGTCGTCCCGGGTCCTGACCACCAATCTCCACGCATCTCTTCGCATTATAGTTATAGATATAGAAGCTTCCATCGATCCAATCCCACACCAATACACACCAATACTCCTACTAGCCAGTCCATCATCTCTCTCTTGCATCATCCATGACGATAGCACCATTCATTTCCTTCCACGTCCACCTCAGCCAAATTGAATCTATCCGAATGCGAGCCTCTCTGTCTGTCGGTCTATATATATTCATATATATATTGCCGTCTCCACAAGTCTCCGCATAGCGCTGCAAGTGCAACAAAGTGCAAACTCAGAGAGAACACCAATTAACTACGCTACTACTGACTAAAAGCCCGCAATTCAGCAACCAACAAAAGCAAGAAAGCATGAACGCCGAGGTTATTTCCAGCGGTCACCTGCAACTTTTCCCACCAAGTTCAAATACAAGACATTGTGGCTCCCAGCTTCCATTTAGCGGCAGGGCCAGTACTGGTAGCATAGCATTAAAGCCAAGAAGAAGACCCGGGGCGCTCAGAATAACTGCCAGGGCCGCCGTTTATGCACCGACCCAGACCCAGGCCGAAACTTTCTATGATATGCTGGGAATTTCGGAAACAGGGTCGATTTCCGATATCAAGAAAGCCTACAAACAGTTAGCAAGAAAATACCACCCAGACGTGTCACCGGCGGACCGCACTGAAGAGTACACCAAGAGGTTTATCGAGGTTCAGGAAGCTTACGAGACGCTTTCTGATCCACAGACTAGAGCTTTGTACGATATGAATTTAGGTCGAGGATTGCATTTCGCTTTTTCAACCGGAAGACGCAACGAGGTAAAAAAACATACACACGCTAGTATCAAATAACATCCCCCTTCCCCCTCCCCACAAAAAAAAAAAGCCCCGCTGAAGGCTTAATTTTTGGTAACGAATTGAGATATTAATTTTGGTTTGTGTTAATTTGGAACAGAGAATGGATGATGTGGAGGAATGGAAACTTAGGTGGCAATCTCAACTGGATGAGCTGAGGCTGTGGAGCATGCACAGGGATAATGTCTCCTCCGCCGTTAGAGGGAAGGCAGCGGCGTCGGCCTCGTCGTCGTGGGGTAGTCGAATGCGCCGAAAGAGGACTGACATTTATGATCTTGGATTTAGGTAGCATATATTTTGCCTATTGCTAGCTATAAGCTAGGTTCATCGTGGGGATCCTTGCTCCCTCTCTGACATAATCATAACAGATTTAGCCGGCGCCGCCGCCGGCACTGGGAGCTGTATCCAGATGTATATATAAAATTTTTGTTAATTATTTTTTTGTCTCTTCCATTTGGACGTGTTTATAACTCGGCCATATCGTTTTGGTTTCTAGAATTATTGGGAAAAATAAAAATTTCCCCCCTTTTTGTTTTTTGTGGATAAGATTCTAACTTCTATTAATGCACTACTGCCTTTTAATTAATGAAATGGTTCTTTGATCCAATTGAGAACAAAAGCAAGTAGAGGATCGAAGCTTCTGTTGTGTTGTTGGAAATAAGTGCTGTCCTACTTATCCATTTAGACAGTAGTTTCTATACATATATTTTTTCCCTCACACAGCGGGTAGGGGAAAGTAAGGAAATAGGTCGAGATATGAAATTCAAGATTCTAGATGACGACAATTCAAAATGCTCTTTTTTTTTAAGGTTAAAAAATTGTTTGATTAGTAGTCTAATGTTAGGTCACCGGAACTATCGCGTTAGGATACGGTCTCAATCAAATGCCACGTTCGTTAAGAGATGGGAGGTAGGGTCGTAGTGAGGAAGGATCGGCGTTGGCGTTGCGTGGTGATGAAGGATTGGAGGTTTATGTTCACAAATTTACTGTGTATTCAATAGTAGGGGCGCATCTTTTGCTTCAACAATTAAAGGAAGAAAAGGGAAAAGTAGAGGGGAACACGAAGGAAGTATTTGGAGATAAAATTAAAAAAATAAGCACAAATATCGCAATTAAAATACTATTTGTAAACGGTTGAATTTCTCAAACATGATTAAATAAAATAGGACAGAGGAGTATTTGACAACCTTAGTAAAGCAAGAAAATTTGTTGTCTTTCAACGCATGCAAATGATAGTTTTCTCATTGACGTAGACACGAATTGGTAGCTTTGCAGCTCATCTTTTTTCTCAAATTCAAAGGCGTTAAGAAGGAATCTTGGTAAAATTCCCAATTTTTTCCCCCTCCTTTTGGTTATTTTCTTTTTTGGCAGGAAGTTCTTAGTACCTCCATCAAATTCAAGGTGTTGAAATGTGCCATTTAGTGCACAGGTTTTGATACAATAGGAGCATATGACAAAGCTAATAGGATTTTTTCTAGCAACTATATACTTCCTTCCTTTTTTTTATAATTGACGTTTAAGAAATTTGCTCTAGTGTACTTTTATCTGTCGTTTTATTATCCCCATACAATATTAATTATTTTTTCACAATTTTACCCTTTTATCTCTCTTTTCCAATACAGGGCTCTTAATTACTACTCCCGGTAATTATTGCATTGCTTTTGGCCTAGTAAAATAGCACCATTTAGTACTTTAGTGAGAGAAAACATGGGTGAATTGGACAATTAATGAGGGTACAAAAGGAAAGTAGTGTACAGATTTAAGCAATGAAAAACTTTTCTTAATTAGTGTGCAAAAACCTTAAACGTCAGTTATAAAAAAAGGGAGGGGATATCTGCATAGTAAAGGACATCTCCATCTTCACTCTCCCTAAAATTAAAAGAGTTTTGGATGGACATTGAAGTTTATCTCTGAAAAAAAAAATGTTGTGAATGCTGCCCTCAAATCCCAATTACGGTCGGTAAGGAAGACCGAAAATTTTCAAATGGACACGGAGTAGAAGCGGGATAAACTGAAGATGCTAATTCGATCATATATGTACATTGGAGTATGAAAAAAAAATACTAATAATAATAATAATAAGAGGTCTCAACACTAGGTGTCATCACTGCATTCGCAAGCACAGTAACATGATATGATGATGAGTGGGGTCCCGAATTGCTTTTCCCGTTGTGCGGTTGGTCGGCCGGGCCACATGCATGGTGATGCATCAGGGGGTCCCAAATTCCATGTCATATTCTTCGTTATCCGCATTGCATTGCATTGCATGATCCCTAGCTTGTCTCCATAATAAATTAACAAAACGCAAAGGACTAATCAATTGGTTGTGATCTGATTTATCGTTCTCATGTCGGAAGCTTTTAACTCCTCCCGTTTAAACTTTAATGTACGTAGGTGCAATCGTCCAAAGCTGCAAAATCTTCACTTCAAGACACTAGCAGAGATGTGGCGGTGAGTCACCTCCGATGCAGATACCGTCACCGAATTTTCTGAGGATAAGGATGTTGGGAACGCAAATAATTTAATTCGTAGACGACAAGCTTATCAGTTGTGTTGCCCAATTGATGCCCCTCCCCGGTCCCAGTTACTGCAGCCCACGTGCCCCGACGTTGTCGGGCTTCAACCTTTAGGACGGCTGAGGAGGCCTTACTTCAACAATTAAATAACTCCCCAAATAAATTTTAGGAAATCCTTAAAAATTATTATCCATGCTATTTAATATTTTATTAATATATACTAATATAAAGCAATCCAGCAATTTACGCAAACAAAATAATGCCATTGAGCAACCCATCCTCGGGATGTTGCTTCTTTCTTCTGGCAGACCTAAGAATGCTACTTCTAGTACTCAATTTGTAACGTTGTTCTTTAGCAACGCCACAAGGCCGTGAATGTTCAAGAAAGAAAGAAATCTGTGGAGGCTAAGATGCATAAGAAAATATCAGGTAGTCTAGTATGACTAAAATTTTTATGTTTTCTCTTGGGAGTTTTTTTTTTTTTTTTTTACAGTGAAAAAATAACATTATAATAATATTTCTTTAAAATGTGATATATGTGAGTGTAAAAATAATTGTCGAAGAGATATCTATCTAGTGACTAATGTTGAGATATGTGGACTTATAGAGATCTTGGGTTCAAATCTTCTGTCTCCTTCCTGCTTTTAAGTCGCGCTCCTTCCCTGCTAAAAAAAAAAATCAAAAACAAAAATGTGAGTTAGAAAACAATTAGCAAATTTTGTTTGGATTTGAATTTTTTTGTAGAAAAATCACTGCGACGATTTGATATATGTGAATTAAAAGGTGATTAAAAAATATGTTTACAGAAAACGTAGCAATTATTCTTTGAAAATTTGCTTTCCAAACAAAGCCTAAATTTTATTAAGGTTTCATTGTATTTTTAAAAAAAAAAAAATCCAAAAGGTTTCACAACAAAACTAAACAAGCAATCCAAACTTCGTCAAGGACTCGTTGAAACTCAAACAACCTTTTATCTGGCATCGGTCGTAAATGTTAGCGACATGCATGTTTAGAATTTACAGAGTACAATCACTTACTCTATTCTCCACTCCCCCCTCCTTCTTCTCTCTCTCTGGCCCAATTTTTTAAAAAAGCCTAGGATCCAAGTGTAACACAGATTGCATAAGCCTCATCCATCGTCAAAGGCTTCCCTCTCAAGTCTCGACTATAGATTAGATAGACATCCCAACTCTCTTCCTTAAGCTACAGCCAATTAAAAACCCAGTCCTTTAACCCAAACTTTTGCATCCTAAATGTTCATGAATTTTGGTTCGTTGGGCTGGACTACAGAAATTGCAGCCCAAATTTAAACTTTCTCCACAGCCCAATTCTATAATAACCGTATGTGGGTCAAAGTGAGAAAAGAACGTCGTCGGAGCAGGGTTCGCCGCCATTCCCTTCCCCTTTTCCGTTCCGATTGATTTCTGATGCAAAAGGCTCTCCATTGGAAGTGAATTCTTGGTTACAAAAAGAGGAAAAAAAAACCATGGCTGCGAATTTTTGGACATCATCTCACTAGTAAATTACTAACTCTGTTGCCCGTAATTGTTACTATCATTTCTCCCCGTCCATCACATTGAATTTTCTTTCGAGTTCATTCTTGTTTTTGTCTTGAGCCTTCTTTTTCTTGATTCTTTAGCAAACAGCTTTTGGATCCCGAAGAGGTTGACGGGGTACATCAGATTGACAAAGAAAAAGGCATCAGTATTGAAGATTTTAAGCTCATCAAGCTGCACATGGCCAATTGTAGCTTTTCCTTCTTACTCTTTTCTGTATTTGCATTAATATTACGATTAGTTAAGTCTTTTAAGTTCTTTTGGTCTTAATGAGAATGTCTCAAATCTGTAAGAAATACAAAATTTCTGTTGCATAATTTCTGTGCATTGATTTCCATTTTGTCATGCTGTTGTAAAATTTTGTTTTCAAATTGTACTTTGAAGATATCTACTTTTTAGATACCATTGTTTGATCTCAGCTCTACCGTTCCAGAAATGGCTTTTCCTGTATAATTGGGGACAACATATCTGCTGTGTAGAATCTGGACTTTTCTGATTGTCTTAATATTTGCATTCTTTTTCCAGATATTGCAAAATTGGCTCAAAATGTGAAAGTCAGGCAAAGGTGTGATCTCATTTTTTTTTCCCTGTTCATCAGATTTGTTTGTTAAGTCTCTTTGTTTCCTACAAAATCGAATCGGCTGTCATCTAGACAAATTCATGTTGGCTTTTATTCTGTCCTGCATCTCGAAATTACTCAGTCCTTTGTCTCCCCGTAGGTGGCAGTTAAGCTCATAATCTGTCAAAATTTTGGAAACTAAATATCAGTTTTCAAAGAAAATTTTGAAGGAAGCATTTTCTATAACTACCTTACTTCAAAGGTCTTTAATTTATTTCCATGATGATTGCATAGTGATCTCTGCTCCATTGGCCAACTTTCAGGGTGGTGGCTACTGCCATTACATACATGAGACGTGTCTATGTCAGGTACAAGTTTTCCTATGTTAACTGAAAGTAATTTGTTCGAATTGAAGTTCAGTTAAGATGCACCGATTTCTGAGAAATATTCTATCTTAACTTGCTTCATTTGAACACTTTATTTGCTTTCATCCAAGCCAAACATTTAGACATCATGTTTGTCATAGGCTTCTATGTGCTATATCGGCAGTTACTTGCCCTCTCTACAAGAGCAATAAAAATGGAAAAGGAGAAACAAAAAAATTCTTTAAACGAATGCTTCCACAGTTTTCAACCGGGAAATAACCAAATTCAAAGCTCACTGAACGAATGATCTTGTTTTCTCAGGAGGGCATTGACTGAATATGATCCTCGTCTTGTTGCCCCAACTTGCTTGTACTTGGCATCAAAAGCAGAAGAAAGCACTGTACAGGCCCGTCTCTTAGTATTTTACATTAAGAAATTACGTAAGTAGCTCGAATTGAGACTGATAGCAGATTGCTTTCTGTTGTTTTAATTGATTTGCAAATTGCTTTCGTCTGAAGCTTGTTTTTATAGCAAAGTATGTTGTCAACTTATGAGAGTTCGCTATCTGTCTTTGCAGATTCGGATGATAAGTACAGATATGAAATTAAAGACATACTTGAAATGGAGATGAAAATTCTGGAAGCCCTAAATTATTATCTTGTCGTATTCCATCCATATCGTGCATTGTCTCAGTAAGTATGCGTATAATTATAGGAACCCTATGTTGCCCATGAAAATTCAGCTTTGTCAAGTTTTGCATTCTCTTGTACAAAGATGCTTGTGGGCCAGAATTTTATCTCTTTTTCAATTAGTTTTTGTATTAATTCTCAGGATTTGGATAGACTTGCATATTTAGCTATGAGGATAGATGTTGGAAATCTCATAATGATGATGTTGCTGTTGCATAAATTCTCATACGCTTTGGAAGCCCATGAGTTGGATATGTATTTAGTCCTCTAATCCTTGAGCTAAAGTAAATAAATTTACAAATGAGGATATTTGTATTCTTAGCTTTTCTTCTGTTATTTTAAACAAAATATTTCTGGCACTGGGACTTTAATAAAATTTTGTTGAATGTAACAGGTGAATTACAAAGCAGGGCCACTTGAATCTAACAAAATAGATGCATAGGCTCGGCAGCACCCAGAATTGGACAAACAAACCAGAATCTCTAGGATGTTTAATTGACCTTCAGAGTCCCCAACTTTTAATTTTCTTCTATCCTGCAATCAGTTTTGACTTGCTATATGGTGATTTAGTTGTTGAGCGTTAGCTGTATTGTTGATAAGGAAAGGCTAAAGGGTACAACTCAACATCTAGAATAGCTCAAATTTCATACTCATCATCTCCCTCTCTTTCCATTTGAGGATGTGTGTTTTTTTTTTTGTTGATCGTTAGTTTCCATTTTGTTACCTATATGAACTAATTTGAGCTCTGTCTTGCCTTTTATTATTGTAAGTGCCACATAATGCACAACATCTTCAAAGACCCCAGTATTGTTTTTACTGGGAACAGCTTACAGTTGAATGATTTAATGTTCATTGTTATACATTTGTTTCATGACAATATTTGGTAACTTTACTCATTGTCTTCCCTGGAACTTTACCTGTCAGGTTGCTGCAGGATGCAAACATGGGCGACACAACTCAGTTAACTTGGTAACTTAACTGTTTATAGCTTGTCTAATTTCCGTTTGTTATTTTTGCAACTTCGAATGTGTGGATGTTCCATTAACCTGTTTTAACTTGCATCTGTACATAATCTTTTAATTTCTATATATTGACTTGATGCCAGTTGTAGAGTTCCTTCTTCCTGCTGCTCAATTGTCAACATCTCTTGGCATGTGGTTTCTATTTGATAGAATGTGTAAATCAAACCATTCATTCTTTCATAGTGTTCCAGTAGTAAATATATGATTAGGGTGGAGTTTAAATGTGTAGTATGAAAACCCAGTAGGTGGATTGGTCTGTTTCGAGAAATAACTAAACAGGTGCCTAAGTTCCAAAGTAGTCCGTCTATTCCCCGAGGATATAGATGAGACATTTTCATATAAGAATGTCATCTAGGACAAAGTTATGATGAAGTTCTTTTGTGCCTCTGCCATTTTTCTTTCCAATAGAGAAAAGGGAAGGAGAACTAAATACAGAGTACATGCACTTCATATGTTTTATAATGTGAAGTCGTTGGTAGAAATGGAGAATATATTGTGAAATAATTGATGATATTGGTTTAAAATTTCTAATGATACAGGGGAATTGTCAATGACACCTATAAGATGGATCTGATTCTTGTACATCCTCCGCACTTGATTGCACTAGCCTGCATATATATTGCAAGTGTGCTTAAAGATAAAGAAAACACTGCCTGGTTTGAAGAGCTTCGGGTTGATATGAATGTGGTAAGTCCAGTGCTTTTTTTTTTTTGTTTTTTTAAAGTTGACCTTTTCATTCATCTATTTTATCTGTGGATGCATCAGTAGATTAAATTTTCTATCCATTTAATGGCATCAACTAGTTGCATTTAATGGGCTGAACCCAGTTTTGTCCAGAACCCTTGGCATTGTGAAACTAAACGGTTGATCTGTATATTATGCAGTATCTCAACCATATCACTACGTGTAATCCCCAGGTACCACCCAAGTTAGATAGATGTGGTCCTTCTTTTGTTAGAAAGTAGAAAGTTAGATCTTTTTGCAGTTACTTTGAAACTTCACAAGCACAGACATATTTCTGCCAATGCAGTGTTTCTGGTAAATGGTTACCAACTTACCAGGTGATAAGTGAGCCAAGTTGGATAATAGCAGTTTTATTACTCAACCTATTTGCTACACAAGAATAGCATTTGGAAGCATTGATTTCATAGCAAAATATGAGCAATAACATTTTTTTTTTGGGTTATTTTTGTTAAAGGTGAAAGAGATGCAATACCCATGCTGACAGATATCGTCTAGCAGCATGAAGCATGAGTGCTTGTGATTCAAATGTTGCTTTCAATTTTGTGCTCTGATTAATAAAACATGTTGGTTTTGGCAGGTGAAAAACATTGCAATCGAGATATTAGATTTCTATGATAGCCACAAAATGATCACTGATGAGAGGGTGGCTGCCGCAATGATCAAATTGAACAAATAAGAGTCCAACAAACCAATCACTCCTGCTGTTTCCGTTTGTATGGACTGACGCTAGGTACAGATGATGCATTCAAAAATAGGCTGAATAGGACTGAAAAACGAGAAGGGACAGTGTCGCTCATTGATAGTAACTGCTGTTTTTGTTTGTATGGACTACTCAATACGGCTGATGCAGTCAAAAGAAGAGCGAGTAAATATGAAAAAGAGAAGGGACGGCGCGGCTCATTCTTGCTGCTGCAAGTGAAGCTTCGCTTAGAGTTTGGGTTTTTATGCATATAAGGTAGTGCGCTTCGGTTGAATGATGCTTTTTAGAGTTGTTGTTGTAGCCTATTACTCGCATCGTAGATGTTAGCAAAAATCTCAGCAGGATGTTCACGACATTCTCTTTGTATTCAAGACTCTTAAATACTGGTGCTCCTAAATCAAGAGTCGAGTATTTGAGGGTGGTAACAAATCAGGTCTGGCGTCAAATTGATCCTTCTGAAAGCGTTATTTCCGCTGTTTGTTTAACTTCCTTTGCTAAGAATGCGAACTAAGCCCATTTGATTAGATATGTAGGTGATGCGGCTTCCAGACTGCACTATTTTATTGAAGAATTCATCATTGTTCCAAAACAAATGAACTGGTGCATTATTGTTTGATCATACAAAAGTCCCCCGCCCCTGCCCAAGCCTCGGAAACGAAGGACAAAATAACTGTTTCAAAAACAGAGGGACCTCAAGTCAACAACTCAAAACACTTTTTACTCTACAAACAAGATGAATGTGGTGCTACAAGCAAGTAAAGGGGAAATCTTGATCACGCATCGACCAACTCCTGACCTTAAAATCACCTAGCAACTCCGGAAATTGAGCGCTCTCCTACTGATGATTTCTTGGTTGCTGATCATTGTTCCATCCGATTCTTCCCCTCTTTTCTAGATTGCTTCTTGGCTGCACATAGTCCATTTAAGTTACCGTCGTGTTAGTTAGGCAAATTTTGTGAGAATTGGAATTGCTGAGTAGTAAATTTTTTTTTTTTTTTGGGGGGGCTGGGGGGTTCTTAGGGAGGAGTAGCAAGTAATTAAGGTTGACCTAGTCTTCTCTTAGCTTCAGACTTTGCAAAGAATTCCCTCCATTCATCAGTCAGAACAAACACTGGGTCTTGTTCCTCATCTTCCTCCTCCTCGTACAGCTGCTGATGTTCCTCTTCTTCCAGTTCCTCATCCTCCTTGTGCGCCACGCCTCTGGCCGAGTCACCAACGAAATCAATAAAAGAAGAGGCAATATAAAAAAAAAAAAAACATTTTCCAAGGTCATAGCCAGCCACGAATATGCTTAAAGTTAAAATTCCTTGCAAACAGTAATAATAAACATAATCTCACCTAAGGAACTCAGTTGCAATGGGCTTAAAAAAATCCTGTTATAACGCTCATTTAAGTTACTTTTACTCTGCTAAAAATTTATAATGGAAGAAAGACTTACTGGGTACTAAATTCGGATGGTTTGGAGCCGGAAATCTGAAAATTGAGAGTGGTTTGGGGTGGATAAAAAGAAAGGGCGGTTTGTGGGTGGTTTTGAGATGGGGGATGGGAACGAGCGGAAGCACGGCATGTGGGCGAATGATAATTATTGAAGCCAAGTATGTAGCTGTGCAATGGGCATTGAGGCAACACGTGATAGTAATGGTGGTGATGAGGGAGCGGATGGTGGTGGTGGTGGTGGTGGGGGTGGAATCGGCGGAACTGGCAAGCAGTGGGATCTGGAAGCCGGGAAGGTTCCATCGCGGCGATCGTCAAGAGCAGTGAAAAGAGACCCTTTTTTTTTTTTTTTTAAATGCTACTAGTGGTGACTGGCGAGAGTTAGTCCTTCAACATCAAACCTTTTGGTTTTAATAACTTTTATAGTGGGAAATTAAATGAAAAGTTTTAATAACTTATAGTTTAATTTGTGATACAAATTAAACTTCAAGTACTTATGATGCAAATAAGATTAACTCTTCTACAATAATTAAGAGTTGCATCGGAGACCTAATTTATTTAAAAATCATTTTCTATATAGAATTAAGTAACTTATTTATCTATATATATATACCCTTATACCAGTATAATTGTCGACCACTAAACAAATAGGGTGATATTTTTGTGAAAAATCAATAGAGAAAAGATAAGAAAAGAAAAAACTGGCCAAAAAATATAGAAGAACGTAACAGCTCTTTCCTTCATTGGCTCGATCGTCTTAGCTTATAAGATAAGAAGGTTTCTTTATCTTCACTAATTACAACTTGTGTGTCATTAAAGTCTTGATTGCAAATTTGCAGTTTTTAATTTTACCAATTTCGACTTTAGAGTTTGGACAATTTCAAGTAGATTGTTCAGAACTTCACACACGACGAGACCTAATTTTCCAAACCCGTAACCAGTGGGGAATGAGGACCATTAAGACTCTATAACCAATGGGGAAAAGTCCTACTTTTTGCATCTCTTCCATTCCAACTTAAAGGTTGGCAATTGTTGAATATCTTTACAAAGAAGTGTAAAATATGAGGGTGAAGTTTGGTGCAAATTTTATTAAAGGAGATTTTGCCAAATTGACCAAAGAGATTTTACAATAATATCAACTCTTGATCTAGTAACTTTTTAGAGCTTTTGTTAAAAGCTAGTTTTGAGCGTTTCATTTCATACGAACACATTTTGTTTGTAACAATTCAAAAGTAGAAAAACAAAATGAACAATACTATTATGCACCAAGAAATATTAATAGCGCTTCCTTCTTTTTGAATGTCATTTTTCTTGAATTTTTTTACTCACGTAAGAGGATAATCATAACCATACCCTTTATTTTTATTATAATTTTCCTAAGAGGGCTAATCAGAAATTTAATAAAGTCTATAATACTTTTATTTAATTGATGTGGTCAAAATTCAAAAGGACATTCCCCTCGTGGAATAATAACAGACATCAACATTTTACATTCCCATGTACAATAGTTGAATGAAGTTGTACATTATCTATATACTTTATACAAAGGGAGAGGGAGAAGTTGGTGAAAAATTTTTGTTTGTAGCAATTTATGTTCTTTCTAAATTACCCATGGTATCATTCTTTCAACTAATATATATATATAATTTATTTTCAAGTTATTTAGTAATTTATTATGAATTACTACTAAATAATTATTTGTTTAAATATTTTATTTTAGTGAATTTTCTGCATTTTACTATTAGAACATAAAACTAAATCTCTTGAAAATGATTTCAAATATACTCAAAAATTTTGACACAAATTTCTTTTATTAGTTATACAAACATTTGTGTGCGTCCTCAACACTAGTGTGTGTTTATATATATAGGGTACGAGATGAGTTGGTAAAATTATAAGCTTCATTCATTCATCATTAAATTAGATCCGTGAGTTTCGTGTTTTTTTTTATCACAATAATAATATTTATATAATTTATTTTAGTCTAGTCCAAGAAACGAGGAATCGACGAAATTTCTTATCAAAAGAAATTTCTCATCAAAAGAAGTCACAAATAAGAGACAATCACAATTAAAATGATATAATATGAACCCTTGAACTCTCACTCCACTGGAGGTTGCCCAAGAGGCTGTTGGCCCCTGAGTTCCGTGTATTCCAACACTTATTGACAGTTTGCAAGCTAAAAAACCATACAAATCACAATTCACATTAGTGGGTTGGTGGGCTGTACGACTTCGTTCCCCAACCCCAATTGCCATCGCGGGTCCAAACAAAAATGGTCCCACGTATCAAATCGCCTAATCGCCTAATTGCCAATTGGTTTGGTATTTTAGTATTTCCCCTTACTCTTATTCCAGGACCTAACTCTAAAGCAACAACAACTGCTGTTAAATGACCAGACCACCCCCTAAGGCCAATGCAGCACCGCCACCAAATCTGTAGTGTTGACTCTTTTTTGAGAAATCCGTTTAAAAGCACACCTAGAATATGAAAATTAGCTCCTAACCAACCCCCCGGCCGCTTGTAGAAAGAGCATTCTCAGGCGGACCCACATTTCCGATGAGGAAAATTGCAAGTATTTCTAGTGTAAGATGAGGGAAAAAAAAATGATAAATAGTACGAATTTCTCAGTGCCTCTGGGCTTCCACACATTCCAATATCAACGGCAACCCTACGTTTTTATATGGAGTAGCCGTGTATTAGCGATAGTTGCAAAACAAGAATTGTTAGCCAGCACAAATCTCTCACCCCTGTCCTTTGTTTCTTCTCCTCATCCCTCCCAACTCAATAACAGCCCTACAATCCCTTCTTCCTTTTTGTCTTTCCCTCCATTTTTTCTCGCTGCCCTGCAAGAACTGCTAACCATTTGATTTGCTTTGATTTTACTTGCTTTGATCTGGGTTCGTTGTTTCTTTTGGCCAAAGTTTGAATCTTTTGGGTGAAATTTTTGTGGGTTTTGTTTATTTATCTGAAAAGTTTGGAACTTTGGATTGGATTGGGCAGAATCCTAAATTGGGTTTCGAGGTTGGGTTGTAGTGGTGGTGGGTCAATGGGAGCTTTAGATGAGGGGCATTTCAATGCAGAGCTAGAGAATGGAGTGAACCTTGGGGGATGTGTTGAGCTGGGTTTAGAGGGAGGAGAACCTGAGACCCCTGCCATTGAGGATGCTGTCAGAGTCCTCTTGCAAGGTCTTGGTGAGGATATCAATCGAGAAGGAATCCGAAAGACTCCTCTCCGTGTGGCCAAGGCCCTCAGGGAAGGGACTAGAGGTGAAACTTCTTTGTCCTTCTTTTTTTTTTTTTTTTTAGATTGGAGTTTTTTTTTGGGGGGGGGGGGGTGGTCTTTGTTGATTGATAGTAGCTGATGCAGATCTCCATATATCAATATATATATTTTAATTCGTATATGTGGATATTCTGCAATTACTATAACGAGTTTACTTGCTTCACTGTTTCATGTATTATCATGCAACCAGCAGTTGGCGAGGTGTTGTTTCTAGTGGCAGATAGAGTCTGTGCTGTGATATTAAAACTTTTTCTCACCGATGCTGTAAACAGTGCAGCAATAGCTTGTGTACATACCTTTGTACTTGTAGATAGACTATCTTTTACGATTTGCAGCATTGCTCTTCATGCTGCATTAGTTTTCTCATTGTGTAGTAACTTGCGGAGATTCGCATCAGTTTCTCAATGTATAGTAAGTTGCGAAGATATACATCTGGCATTTAGCTTATATGATTGTGTGAAAGGAAGTAGCACTGAGTTAGCTTCAACTCGTTAAAATAATTGCAGTGACATTTCTTCTTGTTAGAGTATGTTGTGGTGAGGACCTGATGCAAATCTCGTTTTCTTTTGTCCTATTACTTTTTTCCAGAGCATTTACGTTTTTCAAATGTTTTTCTGCCAATTGTGTCTTTATCGTTAGGTCTCAAATATGAATAATTGAAGAATATCCGACTGAAGAATATCCGACATTGTTATAATTTGAGGTACGATGAGCAGGAATCTGATTAAACCTCTCCCTGCTTTGTCCAGGCTATAGAGAAAAGGCAAAGGACGTTGTCCATAGTGCGTTGTTTCCTGAGGTTGGATTGGATAATAAAATTGGGCATGCTGGGGGAGCTGGTGGGCTTGTAATAGTTCGAGATCTAGATCTCTTCTCCTACTGTGAGTCTTGCTTGCTTCCCTTCCATATAAAGTGTCATGTGGGCTATGTTCCATCTGGACAAAGGGTTGTAGGTCTTAGCAAGTTCTCTCGAGTAGCTGATGTTTTTGCAAAACGCCTCCAAGATCCACAGCGTCTAGCAAATGAAGTCTGTAAAGCCTTGCAGCATGGTATCAAACCAGCAGGTGTTGCTGTTGTACTCCAGTGCTCACACATTCACTTTCCCAAATTTGAGTCAGCCTTTCTTGATTCAAACCATGAAGGATGGATAAAGTTACTTGTAAGTTCGGGTTCTGGAGTGTTTGAAGATGGGAAAGCTGATGTTTGGGCCGACTTTCTCAGCCTCTTAAGGTTCAGAGGCATAAACACAGCGAATATACATGCTAATGGCTCTGACCAGTGTTGGTGCCCATCTCATTCTTTTACAAAGATAGCTCCAGCCAATTCAGCAATGATGAGTGCTGTAGCTTCAATTCTTCGGTCTCTTGGTGAAGACCCATCAAGAAAAGAGCTTATAGGAACCCCTGCTCGCTTTGTGACCTGGCTGATGAACTTTCAAAATTGTAATTTGGAGATGAAGCTGAATGGGTTAGTTCGAAATCAAAGAGATTCCATGAAGCCTGATGGCGATATCAGCTTTGGTGAAGAACATTTATGTTCGGAGCTGAATTTGCCATTCTGGTCCCAGTGTGAACACCATCTACTTCCTTTTCATGGTGTTGTGCATATAGGCTATTATTGTGCTGCGGGTGGCATTCCAATTGGAAGATCCTTGTTACAGTCAATAGTACATTTCTATGGCTTCAAACTCCAAGTACAAGAGAGGCTCACCAGGCAAATTGCTGAAACTGCGTCATCCCTTTTGGGTGAAGATGTAATGGTGGTGGTGGAAGCTAACCACACTTGTATGATCTCTAGAGGAATTGAAAAGTTTGGCAGCAATACTGCTACAATTGCTGTCTTGGGCCAATTTTCAACCGACTCTACTGCAAGGGCTAAATTTTTGCACAGCATTCCAAACTCTTGTCAATCTGGATTATGATTGCCAGACGCTGGAAATGTGGTATTCTTGTCACGTATAGTTCCATTATATGCCTGTAGTAGATGGACGCCAATAATAGTTGAGTAGGCCTTTGCTTTTCCGATTCTCAGGCATGGGGTGGAAAATCTGCATGCATATTCATTCTCAGTAAAACAACTCTTGGAGGTTTTTTTTTTCTTGGAGCGAGTGTTGGGAGTTTCAGTTGGTCCTGAAGTTCCCGTGAGGCTGCAGAGTTTCAGTGCAGGCGCCTTAACAGCATTTGTTTCTTTTCTCCACCTTTTAGTTTTTGGAGGAGACTCTTTCACACGCGAAGGCTTCCTATTTTTGTTTTTCCTTTTTTAAAACTTTATATTTACCTTCATCTGTAACAGAAAAGTGGCCTTTGTGGCCTCTAATGTACCAGTGACTGTTGTCACTCCAGTTTTTGACCAATATCCAAATATCCTCCCACTTTTCTTTTATACATTTAATGAAGTTTCGCCTTGCGTTGCATCCTCTAATGCTGTGTTTTTGTCCTTACTTTACTCGATCTTCTCATCTTGGGTCTTGAGCAGTAGATGGTAGCATCTAACATATGAAATTTGGTCAAAACATCTGTTACATTATATTCCAGGCTTCCACTCTAGCAAACTCTTCCTCGCGTTCTGCAGTTGTGTCGACGTTCACTTCTGCTTCATTTATTGTGAATTCAATAATGGTGGACACAAGCCACGTCCAAAATCTGATGATTTCAAGGATTGGGAACGGACACATTTTGTATTTCTGGAGAATCTTGAATTTGTCTTAAAGATTCAATTTTGCAAACCTGCTCCTTAGAACCTTAAAGAGAGATGCAACAGAATCAAACCTGCATGAGCAAAGCGATCTCTTGCTGCATTGCTCCTCTAGCCTGGAGTCGCTTAAAGCAGACGTCAACTTTTACCCATGAAACGTCTAACCTACTCAAAGTTAGCAGATAAACACAAACCATTTATCACATTGCGTGCCCAATCCTTGAAATCGTCAGATTTTGGACGTGGCTTGTGTCCACCATTATTGAGTAGGTTAGACGTTCCATGGGTAAAAGTTGACGTCTGCTTTAAGCGACTCCAGGCCGGAGGAGCAATGCAGCCAGAGATCGCTTTGCTCATGCAGGTTTGATTCTGTTGCATCTCTCTTTAAGGTTCTAAGGAGCAGGTTTGCAAAATTGAATCTTTAAGACAAATTCAAGATTCTCCGAGGGGGGAAATTGCCGTTTTGGTTGACATATTAATTGGAATCCACAGCCAACCGCACCATTCAGAGCTTTCGAAGGTAAAATCAACAATAATTGCAGACGGCTGTCGCATATATATATATATATATATATATATATATATATATATGTATGTATATACACACACACACACAACTATTCAGAATACGTATATTAGTAGCTTCTATTAACATGACGCGGTTGACAAAGTGAGATCCGTGAACTAATCATAGTCCACGCCCAACCACAAGTGTCGAATTGTATGCCAATCGAAAGCAACGTGTGAGGGAGGAGGCGCGCTGTGACGATGAAAACATCCACTCTGCATCCACGCAAAAATAATTCCAATACCAAGCACCATTAACAGCAACAGATATGCCCGGAGAGATGTTGTATGCATCTGCATGACATTTTCAACTTACGTCAGTATTCAGCAAGTAGACTGGAGTTCATGCATTTGAAGGGGGTGCAGTTATCCATAAACATAACATCAAGAGAGGAATCATGCAAACATGACTTCTGAAACCTCATGCCACCCAAATGCTCTTAAAATGGGAAAAGTGGAAATAGAGAGACACATGTAGACCCTTCTATGCAATTGTTGACAAGAATCTCAGACCTTGCCGGCATTGGGAGGAAGATTTTTATCAGCATGCTCAAGACAATAGCACAAAAGATCAGCTATTGTCAACTCAGTTGCTGAGTCATTGCAGTCTGCAAAAACAACAGTCGACGAGGAACTAATGAGCTAAAGGTTTATTATTTATCAAGTTCAATAACAGGAAGACTTTCTCAGCAGATCACCAGCAATGTCAAAAACTTGCGTTTTTGGTGGGATGCCCAACAGCTCACCCAAGTAGACACGTACTCTAACACGATCGGAAAGAGCAAGCAGATCTCCATGAGTAACGACAACAACAGGCTTGTCATCTGTCCAGAGGGAAAAGAAACCACTTCAAGAGAGGGGCAGAAAAGAAAAAAGAGAGAAAATGGATAACAGTTTAATCAATTTTTTGAATGGAAATCAAAGTAAATGTGTTGGGATCTGTCATCCAAAAGTAACCAAAATAACCAAAAAGAAGAAAAGACACTGAGACATGGTTACTAAAGAGTTAAATGCGTTAAGGAGGTGATGTAGCTGTAATGGCAATGACAAAGAACTCGTTTGTTGGTCAAAGTTTATTCTGCATCCAGCAATATTTATCTTCTCCAAATGAGAACGAAGGAGAGACACAGCATAGCATATATGAGAGCTGGACAAAACAACATGAGTTCTTGAGAAACCATACACAGCCAATTATTTGAATCTTAAACAACTTCCCCTTTCAGAGAACTGGAAACCCATGGTAGTTACAATTTCTATTCCAGGAAGGAATATTCCCAATAGGTAAATGCAATGCAAAATTCAGTGTGTTGAAAATTACCTTTAAATGATAAGTATGGATTGTTGAACTCTTTAGCAATCATTTGATTGTACAGTTTTTTTCCTTCATCGTAGCTGTCCATCGATTCCAATACTGAGAGCCCATTAACAACCATTACAACAAAGTTAACCACCCTGGCCTTACCAGAAAGGTTACCACTACGGCGAGCTTTGGATTTAATGGTAGCTTTTACAATTGCACCATCAGAAGGCCTGACAAACAAAATATGTCAGCCAGAGAGTTGCATAATGACCAGATTCTAGAACCTTTCAATAAAAATATGCGTCTGCTCAGTCATATTAGCATGCATACAGATTTACAACACAATCTTTTAGACCTTTTAACTAGTTCCCCATTGCGAACTCCCTTTGTCATCCATTGCTTGAAGATTTTTGTGTTTTCAGATGAATCATCAGACAAACAACGAGTATCATACAAGCAGAAAGAATTTGATCCTCTTGGGATTTCATACTCCTGGAGGAAATAGGTCCCTTCTCCAGCAGATGAATTATCTGGCAAGAAGAAGCAACATTTAACCATGAAACTTTGGTCAAATGATGTCAAGTTCTACAGAATTGCATCTAAAGAAATTGGACATAACTACGGAAAGTACATGATACTTGAGCTCTTTCTGGTGCATATTTGTCATTCTCAAGCACCCGGGATATTTTGTTTATGAGACTGCTTTTTCCAGATCCCTTAGGACCAACTAATAGGAGTGATGTTATCTCTGGCACATGATAGTCCCCCAATTTGCTGCCACCAAACTTTCGTATCCATGAGCCTGGAGTATAACTGAGAAAGGAAAGAAACAACTTCAGCAGCACAAATGCATTTTGAATCTCAGTATTGCTAGCTCAAGTACATTGTGCTATAGATACCAAATTATGTCACGAGTAAGAAGCAGACTGTATTCCTGATATTGAGTGATTAAAATTGCCATACTACAACAGAATCTTCACTTCATTGAATAGTCACATGAAAGATGGCAAATTTTCGACTGTAGTAGATGCACATGGATCAAATCAGCTAAACGAGAGAAAAGCCCAAGGCAAAACCTGATTCAGACTTAAAATCCGGCATCCCATACAGAAAACCTTCAGTTCATGATTTCGACGTTGTGATTAATACTACATGATAATTCCGGGCAAAAGTATCATTCATGACGCAATGCAAGTTATGAATTCTTCATTAACTCCAAAACTTTGCACTTTCTCAAGTATAATCTGGTTCTCCTTTAATTTATCAAGAAAGTAGTAAATGGTTATGATTTGCAAACTCCAGAATGATAATGGGAAAACAAAAAATGAACATATCTACATCACCATCAAACAGCAAGGCATAATAGGCCCAAAAGTCGCATTTACTAAATGTTACCTCAATATTCTATTCTTGGCCTCCTCCAAACTCCCAGTCCGACGCTGCAGTTCCTCATAACTGCCCAAAACTTCAGCGTAAATGGCGCGTATCCGCCTCTGACAGGCCTCAAAAGTCACTGACTTGGAAGACTTTTGATGACCCACTTCCCCAAATTCCCCAGAAAGCAAGCCAACCTCCTGGTTTAACACTGACTCAGTCTCCACCTTGGCACCCCAACCGTCCTCACTGAACCCAAATCAAACTAGTCATCAGCACCCCCGTTAGAAGGAAAAAGAAACGAAATTTTTTTTTTTCTTCAAGCGATCAAGAAACTAAAATTACCAACCTTAGAAAAGTAGGTAAATCAAGTGATGGATCTGGGAACTCAGACTCACGATCCAAGTCTTCTGCAATTCAAATACTAGCAGAATTAGAATTTTTACTTTCACCTCTGAAAAGCTGTATGTAGATGATAAAAATACCGGTACCAGATGATAAATTGTTGGAGAAAATTCTATCTCCGCCCATTGATGAATGATGATTGCTTCCTTTCCTCCCCGTCTACGTGTTTAAGGAACTGAGACGGAGAGAGGGGCCTGGACTCCCGCAAGAAAATGTACTAAGAGATTGCTTCCGCTAGCTTGCCATTTAAGCTTTCAATTTAAAAGAAGTTTCTGTCACTCTGTCAGCACTGATGAGCTTATCCGGAAAACAAAAAAAATAAAAATAAAAATTTACTATGCAGTTAGTTTTTATTTTAGTGTTAATTAATCTGCAGTTGCGTTCGCGTTGTGGGCTAGTGCCACGTGCATGACGTGGCAGTACGTAGTGGTTTGGAGTCCTAGGTTCAGAGTTCCGACCATTTTTCCAGCAAAGATAGATAATTTTGATGACCTCATCATGGACTTTTATTTATTTATTTATTTATTGATATGAGTATTTAGGTGGCGTTTGGTTCGCACATCGGAATTGGATTCGGATTCGGAATCGGATATCTTGGGTTTGGAATGAGGTCATTCATTCCAATACATTTGTTTGGTTTAAGTACCTGGAATGTGTATCATTACTATAGTTGATGTTTGGTTCGTCGACTCTTTCGGAATGGAATATAATAAATATATTATAAATCACATTGTAAATGATAGTTATTGGCTCTTTGTAAATGAGATATAAGAAATTTTTACTAATTAAATATATTAGTATAAATGTATTAGTAAATTTAGTCTAACTGATTAATAATTTTTATTAGTAAACATGTATAATTATTAGTATAATTGATAATATTAATTATATTACACAAATTAATATACATTATATAATATATATAACTAATATTATTATTATTATAAGTTTGTAACTAATTAAATTAAATATTATATATAATTAAATATAAATATACAAATGTTATAATATAAATATACAATTATAATTATATAATATATATAAATATTAACTATACAAATATTTTATATAAATGTAATATATATTACATATTAAATATAGTTGTTATTATATATTATTATATTTAAAATAATAATAATTATTATAATATATAATTTATTAATATTACATACATGTATATATTATAATTATACGCACATATAATATACATTTATAAATATACATATATATTATAAATATATTATTATATAATATTAATAAATTTATAATATATATTATATAAGTATAATTATATTTAACTAAATAATTATAATATATAATATAATAATATAATAATATCATTATTATAAGTTTGTAACTAATTAAATTAAATATTATATATAATTAATTATAATTATATGAAAGTTATAATATAAATATATAATTATAATTATATAATATATAAATATTAATTGTACTAATAATTTATATAAATATAATGCATATTAATTAGATATAGTTATTATATATTATTATATTTAAAATAATAAATATAAATATAATTATATAATTTATTAATATTATATACATGTATTTATTTTAATTATATGCACATATAATATACATTTATAGATATACATATATATTATAAATATATTATTATATAATATTAATAAATTTATAATATATATTATATAAATATAATTATATTTAACTAAATAATTATAATATATATTTATATAATGTACTAATATTATAATTATAATATATTTTATATATGTATATATTATAATATATAATATATATAAATATTAATTATATCATTGTATAATTATAATATGTAATTGGATTTGTTTCTTGGAATCAAACTTGGGAATCGAACAAACCCCACCAAAATACTTGGGAATGGAGAAACACCAAATTTTTAGAAATCATTCCAATATTTCAATTCCCATTCCAGTGAACAAAACACCATTTATGGGTTCATTCCATTCCCCGAATCCGATACCCTCTTACCAAGCCTGCTGCAAATTTACATTCCAATTCCACTGTAGTAGATATATTCCCGCAAAAGGCTTCTGGGTGGCACCTGCCATCTGGTGAAGGTGAAGGTGAAGGTGAAGGTGATGGTGGAGTTGGGGCCCTAGCAGAGGTAGTAATGCAAGTGAATGGCTAAGATTTTACTCATTCACAGCACAGATTTCCTTGCGTTAGGTACAGTTAATAGTAGTAAACAAACCAAGTAGCATTAAAAGGAAGGGATAATTTCAGAAACCTCCCCTAAGGTTTTTGATAATTTTATTGAGTCCTCTGAGATTTGAAAAATTACACATACCTCCTTTATCATTTAAAATGATAATACTACCCTTAAATATTTTAATGAAATTCTCTTGTTTAGTATGCTTATACTTAGAATGACTTTAAAATTATTTTTCATTATTTTTCCTTCTTATTCCTTTTTATTTTAATTTTTTGCCAATAAAATTGTAAAATTACCACTATTATCTCTAGTTTTTATTGCAACCAAATATCAAACTAATGATTTTTTTGATGAGTTAAATTTATAGGTAATCTGATGTATTTTACTAATCTTTGTTTTCTATTTTTTGATATTAAAATTAATAATAAATCAAAAAGAAATTGCCCAAAATCACTACTAAATTAGGATAATCCCATTACTAAAAAAATTTATAAACTCTAAATCAATTATTTCAATATTTTATTTCTATCTTATAAATCTAAATCCATGATAAAATACCATAAAAAATATCCTATCATAATGATAAAATTATTATTATAATTGTTTATCAGATAGTAGGTATGAACATGAAAAATTCGGCACCTTTTTCTTTTAATTACATTAGATAATCTTATAATTCTACAGAAAAGTAAATTAAAACTTATTATACAAGGACATTTTTGGGTATTCATTTAAAAATTTGACCAAATCAATTTTATTTTAAAATTTTGTTACTAAAACTATCACATCAAGGGAAATATGTGTAATTTTTAAAACCTAGGAAAGTTCAGTGAAATTGTCGAAAACATTAGGAGAGGTTTCCGAAATTATCCCTAAAAGAAAAGAAAAGAAAAAATGGACACAACCACCCAAATCAGCAACATTAAAGAGCTAGTCATATTCATTTCCAAGATTATAGGCTTGCCATCAATTCCCAATTAAACATCTACTCTTACCGCTCGCTATGAATGTGCAAGCAAAGAAACAAAACAGCCGCACGAATGTTTTTGCAAGCATGTTGGGTTGTCAAAGATTAGACATTAGCAAAAATGTACAGACTGTGAATGGTTAAAGCTGATCAGAAAATTTTTCTGCCTTACTATTTCCTCTATCATATTTCATTTTGTATAGTGGGTTGTAATATAATTACATCATCAAAATTGCATTGCTGTGCTATTAAGACCACAGCTACTCTTGGATTCACTGGCAAACCTGCGCTTCAATTTTAACATAAGCTCTCCCTGCCCGAGTGATCAGCTAAAAGACCAAATCATTTTCCCTTCCTCGGAAACTCCTCCGTCTCTGATCCCAATTGTCAAACATCAAGGTCCAGTGCTCTTTAGCAAAAATTTTCCAAGGGAGAATAGCATCGATCCAAGATAGGTCCAGATGATTTCCTATTTTTATACTCGTTTTTTGCAAATCAAACCAAGTCATCCTCGCGTCAAATGATGCCCGCACAAGTTCACCAGAAGCGTGCCCACAGTGATGTCTGCCGTGGGCTGATTCATAGGTGTGCCGAAGAGCTCGTTCATCACCCTTTTTTTTTTCTCTCTCTAGCCCTTCGACCCTCGAACTCCAAAAATTCCTCACTATAGATTATCAGGAAAACAACAAACCAATCCACTCTGGCCTGTGCCTCCGGATTCATTTTGGAAACGGTTGCAGCACAAGGGAGCATTCAGCAGATAGAGGTGCCAAACAAAAGTATGCCACTTGGTGCTGCATCAGGGGAAGCCAACTCAAATTTATACTAACTAGTAAGGAATGACATAAGGAAGCGCAATAACATCTGCAGATTCTATCCGCAAAGCCTCTGCCCATACCTGCTCTGATTCCTCAATCACTGGGGAAACATATTTAGGATTCTTTGCCTGGTGATCCTCCCTACTGAACAACCACTTCTGATCATCAACATCAGACCATTCTACTTTAGGGAGAGAGAGTACCTGGCTCAGATATTTGGCATCAGGATGTGGAGGCTTCAGGTACTTTTCAACAATTTCCTTGTCTTCTAGACAAGCAGAAGACATTTCCATAGAACATGCTTTAGGTTTCTTGAGCTCCACTGATCCATTAATTTTTGATGCTCTCTCATCCAATTTAGGCACCACAAAGCCATTACTCCGCGATCCCTTCTCACTCAGTTTAGGGATACAGGCTCCTGCCTGTCTTTCTGCTGCATTTAGGTTGTTGAACTGGCTGGATCCTAACTTCCTCCCATTTTCAGCAACTGGCTGCATTGATAAAACCTTTGTAAAATCCTTAGTATTGTTACTAACCACCCCCTGCTCCAATTCTGTAAAGCTCCCAACAAATTGACATGATTCCGAATTTCTTCCAGTTCCCGACGGGGGCTTCAAGGATGAAAGGCTGTCACTGGCCTTACCATGTTTGCTGACTGCCTCCTGCCTTTCAGAAGCTATATTAATGGGAATCTGTGTCATTTCCAACTTCCTGCCGTTTTCAACAGGCGAAACAGAGGACAAGAACTTGGCATTTGGCTTATGTTTCTGCAATGTACTTTCCTTCTCCAGATTCAACTGGTTGCCCTTACTAGAAGATTCAATTGTGTTTCCAGTTTGAACGACTTGACAAGAGGAAGATACAAGTCTTGGCAATTTGTTATTCTGAATCTCATGGCCTGTTACAAAGGTCAACGTTGCACAGAAGATTAGAAATTGAGCGTAACCCATTGCCCTTAAAGCAGCTAAAAGGGAAGCAAAAGTCAACTAGCTGCTGGGTTGAACAACCAAGGCTGTTGTAAAGGCAATCTTACGTTGATAAATTGCAAGTGCCTTGTGTATCCATGCATGTGTGTGCTGCATGCATCAGTTGTCCCAGAGAGGACAAGGCATCAAAAATTTAACAACTGAAAACATTGCAAACCTCAAATAGCAATGCTTAAGCAGAGTATACAAGACGCTACATAGAAGAGGTGCCACCAAGTAAGTGCCACAAGTTTACAATTTTAACAAAAGAAAAAGAAAAAGAAAAACTCACCATTCACACATCCATCCATTTCAGGCTCCTTTCTTTTTCCAAGTATCCCGTTCTGTACATTGGTCTCCTTGAACAGATAAGAACCTTCATCATTTTTAAAATCTATAGCATTATTGTCATGTTCTCCTAATTTACTAGGCATTAGGCTAGAAAACTCCTTTGCCTTTTCCTTCTCCCTTTTCCTATTTTTATCCTTTGATTTGCTTTTCTTTTCTCTATCTCGGCCCTTTTCTTTGTCTCCCCTACCATCAGCACCCTTGTGTTTTTTCGAATCCTTTCGCTCCTTTTGCTTCTCTGTAACCTTATCTTCTCGGTAAGAACTTCCTTCAATATTTTTTTGAATTTTGGGAGGAAAATTATGAACAAAACCATTTGCAAATCCAATGCCATTAATTTTGACAGTTTGCCCATTAGGTATCCTATTTTTCTCTCTCTTGTCCCTGAATTTTTGATTCCCATCATCCAAGACACCAATCTTGTGCTCCAACACTTTCCCTGGTGGTGTGAGATCTCTATTAGTGATTCTTTCCAAAATCTGCAATTCTTTTGCTCCATCGTCCTTCCTAACTTTGTTTCCCAAATCAACAAAAAGTCTAGAGTTCTGAGTCTCACCAACCTCTAAGCCTGTTAGACCAAACTTCTGACTGTTTTGATGGTCTGAGAAGGCTACAATTGTCTTCTCGTCGGAGGTTTTCTTCTCTTCTTTATTGCTACTTTTCTCCTTCTTGTCTTTGTGCCTGTGTTTTTTGTCTTTCTTTTCTCTGTGTTTTTCACTGCTTTTTTCTTTGTCCTTTTCTCTTCTCTCTTTCTTTTCTTTGTCCTTCTTGTCCTTCTTATGCTTCTTCTCTCTGGGTTTCTCCTGAAAAAACATTTATAGAAAAATGTAATGAAGAAGAAACAACAGAGCCATACTACAGCACACTGCATCTAATTAAAGAACCATAAAAGCCAATAACAAAGATCATTTCCAGAGGCAATAAAAGCTACCCAAGATAAGAAATTGAAAAGGGGAGAACAATCTTAATGAAAGAAAAAGGAAACCAACAAAGACTTAAACAATGAACAACTGTTGACAAGCTCTGCTTAGTCACCTTCTAGCTCCTGTCTAACTTTTAATTAACAATCAACCAGAGTTCAAGCAAAACACACTTTCAGTAAATGACTTTGTCAAGAAGTCAGAGAATGCAACAATGTCAGCAAGTATATGCTAATTGCTTTTATACCCCCATAGGAAATATGGATTCATATGACTGGAAATTTATGGCGCACAATGATTATGCAGCTGCGAAGTCAAAGAAAAACAAATGCTTACAGCTTTGGCATTCAACCCATGTTGCAAAACCCAAACAACTAAACAAGAATATAGTCCGTATAAAGCACAAAAATATCTGGAAAACTTTAATTGGAAGTTTCTATCCTAGCGAGATATTCCATTTAATACCATGTGCTGGATGTGTCATACTTAATATCCTGATAAATAAGCGAGATTTAAAATAGTTATTGTGTCTGACACAAGAAAGTAAATAGTAACACAGACACCAGAGAAAAAACATTAAGATATTGCACAGGTAGTCCAGCTTACCTCTAGGTTTACACTTTACACAGAGTAAAGTACTATAGGAAGTTCGAGTGTTATTATGACTTTCAATCTTATACTAAGAAGCTTCCATAAATGCCCTAAAACACAACTCTAGTTAGCAACACTGGCACCACTAACATCTTACTTTTCACCGTAAAATTCCAAACATAAAAGTTCATGTACATCATGGCCTCCATTTGGCTTCTAGAGAAGTAAACTTGGTTACACGATATTTTCTGCTCCCAACTCAAGCCTTAGTTATTTAAAATGTAAACTTTTGTTATAGCTGCACATTGTAGTAAACAATGCAGAGATTACGGAAATTGACAAAAACTGAAATTACATGTTTGAGAAAGGCTCCTACGGTCATGTTAAAGTTGGCAAACACAGCAGGCGGAAACAGGAAAATCAATCAATTCGAAACTTTTATCGTACATAACAATGAAAATGAGCATCCATTCCTCAGATTTTCAAAGACATGCGGTGAACATTCAAAGAAAGGAACCGAAATAGTAGATATACTCTGCTCAAATTTTTAACTAACCTAATCAACTTCTTTAACAGATATATGACCAATTCATAGCACAAAAATGGTGTACTTATGAAGATTATCTTTATTTGTATTTGCTTCACATATGAGGCACATGGTACACTGAAGAATACATGTTTAATATAGGTCCCCACATTTCAGGTGACAAATCCCTGACATTAAATTAGCATAGAATGCCATGTACTAAGCATCAAGTTTATTTCTTATGTTTTCATGAAAAATAAATAATAGAAAGCAACCAACAGATTGGGACAACCATAATAAACTTGCCAAACAACCACCAATTATGTCACTTCCAACCATACAAGTCTTGCTTGCCCAACCATATAAGTCTTGCTTGATTTGTAGTATGATCCTATAACTTCAATCTCATGAAAGATGACACTGTTGATAAACCGTAATGTAAAAGAAATAGGTAGACAATGCCATCCAAAATGAGTACTGAACTGCATTAGAAGATGACAGCCAAAGGAAACTAGAACTATCCAACAGACGAAGCGTGCTGACAAGTACTCTACACTGATTGACCCAGAAATGCACACGAGTTGGCAAGGAAAACACATCATACAGAACAGACAATTCTTATATGAAGCTATTTACTCTCCAGCCTAGAACAGAACATTCAATCGAAGAAGGAGAAGTACACCACTGCCCCAAAATTGCAAGTCATTCACACATTGCATTGCAATAACCAAACTGGTAGAGGAAAAGGTAAAATCTTACCCAAGCATCAGGGATATTAAGATACCCCAAGCTTGTAGTTCATAAGATTGTTATAACAGTCATCAGATTGTTAAATGTATTCAACTTTTTCCTCCACCTAGGTATATTATCTTCTTGCTTTGAAATGCAAATGAGAGGGAAACAACATCAAAGCCCCTAAGCTAAACTTGGCCTGTGAATTTTTGAGACAAACAAGTCCAGATTTTTGGAAATTAAGATATGATGAGTAAAGTAGTTCCACTTGTTAAGTGGCAAGATGCTGTACCAGCTTACTATCTGACAAATTCCAACTATCTTAAAAGATCATGCATATAGGGCCATAGCCTGACAAATTTATCAACTACTAATCTGGTTAAGAGAAAATCATCATCAATGGTTCAAAGTATGTTGCTTCTCCTGCACAAAATTATCATCTTCCACAACCTTAAGCCATGTGATAAACAGGTAACAGATGCAATGCCGCAAATACGTTATACCGAAGCAAGCTTGCCCAAGTTAATTCAAAATGATCCACAATACTACTATTACTCCCTTTTCTTCATCCAAGCGATTTATCTCAAATTTCACCATAGGTCTGTCTGAGATTCCCCAGGAACGAAATGATAGAGGAAGAGCATTTGAATTCAGTGTTTAATGCATTCAATAAACGTAATGCTACTAACATGAGCAGAAACCAGCTACAATTGGTAAAAGCTCTTAAGCTTGTATAAGAGAGTAAAACCTTTAGTAACAAGTTTGCATCTTCATCAGGCCTAGTCTTCTTTTCATATCCGGGAGGTGGAAATGGAAAGCAGCGAGACATTGCACGTGATTAAGGAAACAGCAGAATGGGAACTTTCCACCAGTGGTAGAGCTTCCCTTAGTTTCTGCTTGTGCTGTTCCAGAATGGGAACAGACCACAGATAAACTTCTTGCCCATGTACCATATCCTTGCTATCATTTCCAGATTGGGCATTAATCCATGGTCTTCTTGAAAGATCCCCAAACAAAATTTCCAGAATCCCAGCAACCGGATCCTCACCTCTACTGGTGGTGAAATAATAAACCAAGATATTGGTGAATAATTTAGATAAACTACGGCACTGAAGTGCACAACTAATGCACTGAACAAAATTGTCTCAACCTGAATCACACGTTGAAGAATCAACAGGTCCACAGCAATCTGATCCACAGACAATTCTACTAGAGAACTACACCTGCCCATCATCCAAAACCAAAATCAGGGCCTTTTTCCTGAACCAAGAGAAATATCAATAATGCAAACAACAGAGGCAGCAGTAAACACCACAACCTCAAAATGCAAAAACCAGTTAGTTCTCTCCACCCCCTATCCTAATCCGAACTGATATTCAAACAACAGAGGAGTTTCCCTCAACTCTTTAGACGGTTCACAGGGCCAAAACTCCAAACTAGAGCTACAGAACACGCACTAGCTAGTCTCAAAAAGACAAAAATCCAATCTTTTAACCGAACAATGTTGGAGCATACCACAATCTAAACTACTACAGGAAACTCCTTTAACCCAGTAATCCGATCTCTAACCATTACTCTGATCATAACCCTATTTGTTCAACATGGGCAGTTCGTACTCAATCCAACAGATCAAAACCTAACAAGATCAGTCAAGAAAACCATCAAAATGCAATTCCCATTCATTTAAAAGTGAAAAGAAAAGGGACCACTTAAAAATTCATTAAATAACAAGAAAACATTCTTAAGTCGAAAAAATTATTACAAGATTGAAATCAATATTATTCTCTCTTTTTTTTTTTCTCTCTTTCTTCTCATCAAGAAACCATTTAGAAAACAATTCCAAAGATTTCCAAGAAGTACCATTAAAATATTTATTCTTTACTGGTTTTAAAATACATAGGCATTGTCAAATACACAGAGAAGATCAAGAAAAAAAGAAGAAATAAAGGAAAATCTCAAAGTGTCTCTCCTCTTCTTTCCTCTTTCTTTCTACCTCTCTTGCCCCCAATCCAAAATATACACAAAGTGGGTTTTCTCTGTAAGTGAGCTTTTTGCTCGTGTTTGTTTCTTCTCTCCTCAGATCCTCAAAAAATCTTTGCCGCAGTTCTCGTACATGGGTTTTGCCCAGAAGGAAGGCCACCCCACCTCGCGGATTTTAATCCCAAAAAAGGGAAAAAAAATTTGTGCCCCCGGGGGGCAAGCCCCTCTATTTATAAAGGGTGACCAAGAGAACAAGAAAGAGGTAGAGAGGGAGAGGTGGGGAGAGAAACGTGTTAAAAAAAGAAGGATCCAGACGCATACGATGAAGGGTGGTAATGGGTGGCCAATTGGGAAATTGGGAAACCATTCTTCTGTTTCTGTTTTTGTTTTTGCAAACCTACGCGTACATTTTTATTTTATCTTTTATTCTAACTTTACTTCATTCAAGCCTTTTAACAGTAACCAGGCTAGGGTACAACAGGTGCATATGCAAATTCCGTGTCACCTCGCAAAAGTCACAACTCGCATCTGCATATGGGCACGCAGCAGAGCAAAGGTACGTGCATTAAGGTAAGATGTTGCAATCTTGGCTTTCAATCTGTCAAAGAGGTTAGTTAGAGGCCCCGCGGCAAAGGTCGGATATATGTGGACCAAAGCTTTCAATCTGATAAATCTTGGCTGTTTTTTTTTTTTGGTTAAATAAATCCCAGGATTATTGTCTGTTGAAATCGAGGAATATGAGATATATATATATGGATTAATCTTTCCTACACTGACAGTGTATACACTATCAGCGTTGGATGATTGACAATTATGCAAAATTTGAATTTGAAATTCAACTTTTGCACACATGTCATGAATCTAACGATGATAGTGTATACACCGTCAGTATAGGAAAGATTTACTCTATATATATATAGAGTTAATCTTTCCTACACCGTCAGTGTAAACCTATTTTACACTGACGGCTTATCATATTGCGTCACCTCATTAATGAAAATTGGCAACCTGTTATAACCTGTAACCATTACCTATTATCAAATAAAAATAGGTTATTCACCTCTTTTTCTGCCTCTTCCTTCTCTTTCTATTGTATTCTCGATTTGCAACCAAATTCCTCCGCTGATCAACTCAAAATTGGGATCACAGGTTAGACTTCTTTAATCTCTCTCTCTCTCTCTCTCTCTTTTTTATATGTATGATGTCTTTTATAAACCCACTTTTACTTAATTTTTACAAAGTGTAAACCCTAATTCAATATTTGTTCAAGAATCGATTTTGTAGTATAAAAGAAAGATGAAATAAATATGTCAAAAAATAAGAAAAATTAACTAAGTTCCTCTTTATATTGCAAAATTATAGTGTAGGTCGATTCCAGCCATGCTAGTGGAAATTCTTATTAAATCTGTTTTGAATATAAATATAACAATATAATGACATTCTAGTTAAAACTAACATTCTGGTCAAGTCACTTAAAGTGGACAAATATTCTGGTCAAATATTTGAAGTGGACAAGTGAACATGTATCAATGAAAAGATAAATACATCAAACTATCACTCTACTTAAGTAATCTGAACTTGGACAAGCAAACTTGATAACAAACTATCATTCTAGTAAAGTAATCTAAACATCTAAACAGTACACGTGAATGAATGAAAAGATAATTCATCAAACTACCAGGCTCTAAACAAGAGCATTTATTGCTCTTAACAGTCCACTCAATTCTTTACTTTGGGACACGTACTTCTATTGTGCCCCTTCTCTTTGCAACAAGAGCATTTATTAATTTTACGAGACTTTTCTAAACCACCCTTCATCCGTAAGGTGCGAGGACGCCCTTTTGATGCAACTGTCACGGGATTGAATAGAGTTATACTCTTCTGAGATGTTTGACCTTGAGTGAGATCATGAATTTCAGAATGTGAGTCAACTTGAGAAATAGATAAACTACTGTCTTGCTCATTTTCGTAGGGCAAATCATCAAGTTTGTCAGATAATGCTTGCAACCCTTGAAGTGCAACTCTGCAATATTGAGTATGGTGTCAAATCAGGTTAAAAATTTCAATGTCATTTAAAAAAAAAAAAAAGTAGAGGTACTATACAAACCTGTGGTGTTTTGCAGATCTTGAAGCTTTCTCTGAAATGCCAAGTGAACGAACCATTATATCATTAAACCACATGCTTGAATTTCTTAGCGGCTCAGCTTGGTGAAGTTTTTCAGAAAAATCCCCCTCATCTCGTCCACAAATAGCACTCATTGTCCAACGATCCAACAAATAATGCATTGGAAGTGAATGAATTTGTTTCTTTATAAACACCATCAGCGCATGTTTACAAAGAATCCCCACAAATTCAAACTTGTGACAAGAGCACTCAACTTTTTGTTCAACAATATTTAGAATTACAATATATGAGGGAAATTCCTTTTGACACTCATGTACCCTATATTTGTAAACTCCATCTTTCATAGTTATTTTCTCAGAAACATATTTCTGGGATTCCAGTAATTCATCTTGAAACATTCTGAAAATTTTTCGTGTATACACTTTGGCTGCTTCAACTTCCATAGGGTACAGAGTTTTCAAAATTGGTTTCGTATTCTTTGTCTTAAAATTTTTTTCTTTTTCTTTATCATACCTTGCCTCAATAGCCCTATCATATTGAGTCACAAATTTACTCATAGCTGTGCTAGAATTCAGATAGTCTTTGAAAAACTTATTCATACTCTCACTTCTTTGGGTAGTTGACATACCTGGACAAAACAGTAGCAATTACACAAAAGTAAATAATTATATAATAAAAAAAATTAATTATCACTATCCTAAGATTTAAAGTCTAAGTCAAATTTTATTTTTTTAACCAAGAAAGAATAAGGTACATACCTGCGCAAAAACTAGCACGCACAAAAGCAGGAACCCATCTTTCACGAATTGAATATACCTTTTGTATCCATGTATTATTTTGCAACTTGTACTTCTCAATTAACTCAGTCCAAGCCATTTCAAACTCTTCTGGAGTGATAGTGTCATGAATGCATTTTGAGAAATGATACTTGAAATCAATGTTTTGGTGATAAATATGGCTAAGTGTCTCTGGAAATTTTTTCTCAATATGCCACATACAAAAATGATGTGTACTATGAGGTAAAACTCTAGCAACAGCATTTGTTATCGCAGTGTCTTGGTCTGTAATGACAGTTTTAGGAGGGCACCCAAGCATTGCTTCTAACCAAGTTTGCAACAACCAAACAAACGATTCTTCGGTTTCATCCCAAAGCAGAGCACCTCCAAACAAAATTGACTGGTAATGATGATTAACTCCAGTTAATGGAACAAAAGGCATCTTATATTTATTTGTCAGGTATGTAGGGTCAAATGTAACCACATCACCAAAGTGTTTATATAATGACCTTGACTTAGCATCAGCCCAAAAACAATTAGCAAGGCGACCCTCTATATCTACTTGAATGGCATAAAAGAAACCAGGATTCTCAGATTGTCGCTTCTGAAAATATTGCAGCATTAACTGTGCATCTCCTTTTTCTAGTTCCTTGTGTCTTTTTGTACTCAAATAGTTACAAACATCATGATCAGTGACATTCAAGTTTCCAATTCCCCCAACTTGAGTTGCTAAAACAGAGACAATCTTGCTTGGGCGAACACCAGATTGGTCTAGCATATCAATCAAATTCTTTTGGGCCACACTTTTTTTCCTTTTTGAACGTAAAAATTTTTTGCTATAAGGAGAGGCAAGTACATGATTATGTTCTAAAACAAGTCTAGCAATAATCCACTTACCCTCTTCCTTTTGGGATACATACACCAATGCTTTGCATCCTTGTCTTGTTTTATCCCGTGGCATATCAGCTTTAGAATCTTTTTTGGAGCGAAATCCTTCTTTGGAACAAACAAATTCTTGTCCAATTATCGATTTATCGCTCCTTGATTTCGTGATACGATTTCTTCGCACACTAAAACGTTTATTGTGTGCATAGTTAGAGTAACACTTAAAGGCATCATCCAATGATTCAAATTCCATTCCAACATATAAGTTCACCTCTTTTCTAGGTTCAATCTGTTCACTAGTAGAATCTTCAGGCATAGATCCATGTGCAGCGTCATGGTCAAATTGATCTTGTTCCATAGGACATTCAATACAAAGTTCACGTTCCATACGACATTCAGTACCCATTGTTTTTCCGAAAGATGCAACCACAATACCAAACTAGAGACACAAGATTCACACAATTGTCAATAAACATGACAATTAAAACTACCACTCTTGAAATATTCAAAATAGATTTTGCAATATAAAGAGGAACTTAGTTAATTTTTCTTATTTTTTGACATATTTATTTCATCTTTCTTTTATACTACAAAATCGATTCTTGAACAAATATTGAATTAGGGTTTACACTTTGTAAAAATTAAGTAAAAGTGGGTTTATAAAAGACATCATACATATAAAAAAGAGAGAGAGAGAGAGAGAGAGAGATTAAAGAAGTCTAACCTGTGATCCCAATTTTGAGTTGATCAGCGGAGGAATTTGGTTGCAAATCGAGAATACAATAGAAAGAGAAGGAAGAAGCAGAAAAAGAGGTGAATAACCTATTTTTATTTGATAATAGGTAATGGTTACAGGTTATAACAGGTTGCCAATTTTCATTAATGAGGTGGCGCAATATGGTGAGCCGTCAGTGTAAAATAGGTTTACACTGACGGTGTAGGAAAGATTAACTCATATATATATAGTTACTTTCTTTTTTTCCCCCCTCCCTTTTCCCAAGTAGTGCCAGTTACGAGTAGTGTCAATGTGCGATTACTTCCTAAATCATACCAAGGTAATCTAACTTGTAACCTTATCAATTGGGCATTCATTTTTTGTTATCGAAACAACTTATAATGAGTGAATTTTATAACTCGTTGCATTGATTATCTCTTACACTGAAAATGCGGTCCTAAGATCAGGCTTGAGCAGTATTATATATTCAAGAAAAACATATAGTAACATATATATTATGGTCATCCTTTTTGCTTCATCTGTTATATCCAAGAGTCAGTCACAAGAAAGAATCTGATGTTATAAAACTAATAAAATTACTATAGTGTGAATGGAGATATTAGAGGAAAAGTAGAGCAATGGAGAATGATATTCTTGTATTCCAATAACATACAAAAGTCATCCCAAAGGGTGTCAATGTACCTCTATATATAGGTACTACAAGATTAAAGGAACAATCAATCCTATTAAATACCCACTATTACAAGAATATGAAGAAACCTATGAAACGGTTCTTCCACTACATGAATAGATTTATGGATTGTAACTTCTATACATAATGTAGCCATAAATCATGAATTAATCCTCTTGGGAATACAAAGGGACATCCATACTTTTAATTGTTTCATAACACTCCCCCTTGGATGTCCATTACACAAAGAATATGCCTCGTTAAAACCTTACTAGGGAAAAACCCATCGGGACAAAAATCCTAGTGAAGGAAAAAGAGTACACTATTCTTGTGTATTAATTTCTCCCCCTGATGCAAACATCATTTGAGATCTTTTAATCGTCGCATTTCAATATGCTTCACCAATTGCACTGAGATATGGTACTTCAGGACCAAGTATCTCTCCATCTTCCTCTCGCGGTCTAAAAGAATCTTTATTAGGATCTAATGATCTGACGATCATTGGAGTACTTAATATATGTGTCTTATCCATATAAAATCGCTTTAATACCTTCCGGGTATATGCAGTTTGATGGACAAAAATTTCACTTTTTAAATGCTCAATTTGTAAATCAAGGTAAAATTTTGTTTTTCCAAAATTCTTGATCTCAAAATATTTCTTCAAATATTCAACATTATTTTGAATCTCTTCAGGAGTTCCAATCAAATTTAGATCATCAATATATATAACAATGATCACAAAATTTGATCCATTTTTCTTGGTAAAAACATATGGACATATTGGATCATTGGTATAACCTTCTTTAGTCAGACATTCATTGAGGCGGTTATACCACATACGTCCAGATTGTTTTAGGTCATACAAAGACCTTTGTAATTTAATAGAATAAATATCTTTAAAAGTTGATTTGTATGCTTCAGGCATGTTGAATCCTTCGGGGATTCTCATATAAATATTATTTTCAAGATTTTCATATAAATATGCAGTAACAACGTCCATTAGACGCATATCTAATTTTTCATGTACTGCAAAACTCACAAGATATCTAAATGTGATAGCATCCACTATAGGTGAATACGTTTCATCATAATCAAATCCAGACCTTTGTGAAAATCCTTGAGCTACAAGTCTAGCTTTATATCTCACAATTTCATTTTTCTCATTTCTTTTTCTCACAAATACCCATTTATATCCTACTGGCTTTACACCTTCAGGTGTTTGGACTACAGGTCCAAAAACTTTTCTTTTAGCCAGTGAGTCCAATTCAGATTGGATTGCATCTTTCCATTTTGAACAATCATTTCTATACCGACATTCATCAACCGATTTAGATTCATGATCCTCATCAACTTCTATAATATCAAGTGCTACATTTCATTAGGCTCCAATTAAATTTTTTTTTTTTTATGATTTCATTCTCTTCAGGAGCAACCTCTTCAAGAGGTTGAATTTTGTCATGACATTTAATCTCCAGAGATATTTCAAATCAATTTATACTTTGTTTAGGTAGGCCGGCCTTAAATTTATTTGTAGCACTCGTGCATGTCCTTCAGGGACATCAATTTTAGCTAGAGTATTTCCTGCAGGAATAGTTGATTTAATGACTCTTCTGGAGTCGATAAATATAACTTTCTACAAATGAAGAATTTCTTGAACTTCTAGTTCACATTATTGAGGATCGAGGAAATCCAATTTTTCAGATGATTTCCTTTTGGTTGATTTCTTCCTCCCCCTAATGTCAGGAATCGTAACTCATCAAAATAAAGATCACCCATCAATATTTTACGATATTTAATCGTAAAAATTGATTCATACCCGACATAAAAATTAAAATCTTTTTTTATTGGAGCCATATATAATATAAAGGGGGTATGTATAAATATTTGTCGGCTCTCAAATATTTTCACTTTCGTTAAATCATGTATTCATTGGGATCAGTAAACTTCTGATTTACTGCAGGTGATAATTATAAATTAAATGAGAATGAATACAACTATATCGATAACCATTTCTCTCTCGAATGGTTATTATGATATAATTAACCTTTATCTCATTTGATTTCTAAACATGATCTCTATTGTTGTCTCATTTAATATCTCAATTTGATATCCATTTCAACGGATATTCAAATTCAATAAATTTTTCGAGACATGATAAAAAATAGTATTTTATTCATAATAAACTTTTCTCCTACAGGAAGAAATATAGTAGTGGCTCTTCTGGAGCTTTCAATCACTTATACACTACAACTGATTGTATTTGTCTCTCTCATTGGAATATAGTGTATATAGTAGCACTTATTAATGAGACACATATCATTGTCACCATAATTCTTATGGGACAAATATCATCACCATAATTTTTTTTGATCCCAAATATTTAACATTCATTTCTTCTTCAGGAAGAAAAGCTAATTACTATCATAAATTAAATCAAGCATCATACACCTTCGGGGTGTTTAAAGAAATTGGCCATATGAAGATGCTATTATAATTTTGATTCGTCAAATGTACTTCGGGACATTTATCTTTAGGACCTTTATTTTCTTGTCCTTATCATTATTATCCCACTTTAAGTGGTAACTTTTTCTCTTGTCATGGTAAAATATATATTTACCAAAATCATAGTCATGGCAACAATCATAACTAATAAATTGAAATGTAGTCAGATTCACTTCTGGGAATGGACTAGAATTAGCATGCAATAAGTACAAAATACTTCTCAAAATTTCTCTTAATATTGCTACTACAGGAGCATATTCGAGAAATCAATTGTAGAGAGTATTATTTTCAATATATCTTATGAGTAAAATTTTCTCGACACAATTTCAACTGAGAAGTAATTCTGAAAATTGCATAATTATATTTTTGTAGCCACAGGTAAATTTATCATACCAGACTTTTGAAATAATGACCATCTTCTAGTGGTCAAATATTTTCGTTCAAGAACGACCATCTTCAGGTGATCGAATCTTTTTCTTTAAATATTTCAAAGGACAAGTAGATCATCAAATATAATTGATTTTCTATACTAGCATCTCCAAAACTCAATGCATCAGAATATAAGTATTTATAACAAATAATTATAAAGATAAATAAGTAGAATTAAAAGGAGAAATATTGCCTCAAAGATGTCAAACAATATATGTTTGTGTTTAGTGATTGTTCAACAGTAAGTACTTGTATTTTGCGATAATTCAAATATTAGCCATAAGAAATTGAAATAAATTTGGGGGTCCGAAATTTACCTCAATCAGTAGACAGAAGTTGCCGAAAAAAAACACGGGCAGAATCTCGTATTTCACTTTTACTCAAGGTAAAACCTCCGTTTTCACCTTTTGCTCAAAAGTAGAGACTCGTGCTGATAACGTGTTATAAAACTAATAAAACTACTATAGTATGAATGGAGATATTAGAGGAAAAGTAGAGCAATGGAGAATGATATTCTTGTATTCCAATAAGATACAAAAGTCATCCCAAAGGGTGTCAATGTACCTTTATATATAGGTACTACAAGATTAAAGGAACAATCAATCATATTAAATACCCACTATTACAAGAATATGAAGAAACCTATGAAACGGTTCTTCCACTACATGAATAGATTTATGGATTGTAACTTCTATACATAATGTAGCCATAAATCATGAATTAATCCTCTTGGGAATACAAAGGGACATCCATACTTTTAATTGTTTCATAACATCTGAACCATTGATTGACTTAATTTAGGCAAACTTCATTCATTTAAGCATTTGCTCCATCTGGGGATAGGTTAAAAAAAAAAAAAAAGAGCACTCGCCACTCATCTCATCATTACCTGTCCGTTGTGTAAAAGAAAACGAATCGAATCTCATGGTCATATGCCATAATAATACTACTACAAGTTAAGAGAGGAAAGCAACCATAAGCTTTCGCTGGTGGTCATCATCAATGCATCAAAGTTTAGTTGATCCCATTAATTTGTCATATTCTTTGTTTAAAAAATTCAAACAGGTAC